AAACATTTTCTGTAAAGGGTCAGATAGTAAATATTTTCAGCTTTGTGGTTTGTACTGTCTGTTACAACAACTCACCTTTGCTCTTGGAGTGTGAAAGAAGTCATAGATAATATATAATGAACACACACAACTGTGTTCCAATAAAACTTTATGTAAAAAAAAAACCAAAACAGATAGTGGGTCACATCTGACTTAACATGTGGTAAACTGCCAATCCCTGCTTTAGACCATTATGTCTGTATTGCCTGGATTAAATGCATGACTTTACAAATGAATGGGCCAATGAGTGAATGAATGAAATACTCTTTGGCACCAGTGTTCCCTTACTTTAGTCTTCTCAGTTCCCTCATGAGTATTCGTGAGACTGCTAGAGAATCACATTGCTGCCAAGTGGAAAAGCAGCATAGCCATTCCTGAGGGCTGAGTGAGGAGCACAAGGGGGGCAAGCCTTACGAGGGTTGTGTCTTCTGAGATGGGTCAGGTGAGCAGTGTTCTAGCTCCCTGACACTCTATGTGTGTGGCTAAAAGATCTAAATTTTAGCTCTTTGGTGAAGGAACATGCTGCCTCCAGGATAAGGGCCTAACTTATCTCACCAGGACCTTTATGATTTGTCTTGTTTATACTTTTCCAGTGTTGTTATTTTCTCCCCTTTATCTGCTATAGCAACACAGGGAGCTTGCAGGTTTTGGATCAAGCAAGTTCTCTCTTACGTCTAGGTCTTTTGGGTTTTTTTCTGCCTGGAAAACTCTTAATTGCCACCCTTCAAGGTCCAGGCTCATCCTAATTTGTTTCTTAGGACTCTGCCTAGGGGCTATTTGTCTCCTGGAAGTTGTTTTAAGCACTGATGAGAAGTGGTTGTCCCTGCTTTGTGTCCAATAACCTCATGCTTGTTCCAGTAGTAGCTTTGCCACTGCATAGAAATACAAGGGGGGACCCCAGAAAAACTGAATTTATTTATTAAAAAAATGTGTATTTATTCTTACATCTTTAAACTTCAGTCACCTTCAAAGCACTCTACAACACAAAACACCTATCAAGACTTTTTTTCCTCTGCTCAGAACAGTTTTTGAACTCATTGATTTTGATGCCTTTTAGTGCTTGTGCTGTTTTTTTGTTTTGTTTTTTTGTTTGTTTGTTTCACCTCTTCCACATGAGCAAAACCTTTCCCTTTGAGGACTTTCTTCATTTGGGGAAACAAAAAAAAAAGAGTCACTCAGGGCGAGATTGGTGATTAGGGAGGGTGGGGCATGGGGATCTGCCATTTTGGTCAAAAACTGCTGAACACTCAGCACAATGTGGGCAGGTGCACTTGTAAATCACCCATCACTGACATGGGCAGAGGCATTGAAAGAGTCTTCAGAAAAAATTTACTGAAGCTGAATGCAGCCTCTCACAACAATGCCAGCTGTACTCTCATGCAGATGGGTTCCTGGAACACTCACCTAGTAGGGGAAGCCTCTACTGTAAGGGGCCTGTACTATAAGGGGCCTGCCCTCCAGAATACAATTCTGGGTTTTTTGGGGGAGTCCCCCTCAGAGCTCTTTTGTTAGCTGTCTTCCTAATATGGTAAGTGTTTTGAGAGCAGGCACTATCTCTTACTAATTATTTAGGTCCAGCACCTAATACAGTGCCTGGCATGGAGGAGTTCCTTAGTAAGTATTTGTTGAATGAATGAATGAATGAATGAATGAGTGCTGCACACCAGATTTTTCTTAGAGGTGGCTGAGAGAAGCTTTATTTCTATTGTGTTCCATAAACCTTGTTCCTCCCCTCTTGATATCTGAGGGAGATGTCATGCTCTCTGGTCCTAGCTTAGCAGAGTGGGTAATTTACTGTGTCTTCTAGCTGAGAAGCCATTAATATAGCGTTTGTCTTTCGAGAGTATTGACCACCCAGAAAAGCAGGGTTTCTTAGAAAACAAGGTTGGGTAGCTGGCTGTAGTCCTAGCAGTATTCAAAGTCAGTAGCTATACATATAGAGGAAAAAGGTTGACCTTCAAGTCAGATTAATTTAGGTCTACCTATCATTTTTTTTCCACTTTTCAAATTCTCCAAGGTTCAGTTTCCTGACGTATGGATAGGGATAAGAATATATGTTCTGCAATAATTCAGCAGTATGGGGAAAAAAATTAGAGGTAATATGCCAAGTACAATGTCATTATCTTGTAGGTCCTGGTCAAATGGTGGCTGCAGCTGTGAAGTCCTGTCACAGACCCTTGAAAGCCTCATTAGGGAATCCCAGTGTCCAGGTCTGATCACAAAACAAAGAGGCTGTCTTGAGTCAATTTAATGACAACAGCAACTTGTACCATAATAGCAGCAACTTCAGATGGTGATTGTCCACACTGTTGGATTTCCCACCCCTATAAAGGGAGAGGTAAATGCACAAGGCTCTGAAGTTCCCGTAAGCACACTTTAATGGGTAGGTCTTGGCCACTTGTAAACAAGGTATGTGAGCCCACGTGCACACCCCCACCCCAAGAATTTGTCTATCTAATTTGTTCTTCCTTAATTTGCTGTTGTCAGTGAGTATGTGAGACATGAAAGGCTGATTACTGAATCAGATAATATTTTTCTTCAACAAAATAACACTGGGATAAATACTGTTGCTACTTCCAACATTTTCTTGACATTGATATTTACCAGAAGGTCATGGTCAACAGAGAGCTGACCACTCGAGAGGAGAGCGTTTGAGCAACACACTCAAACACTTTTCCTTTCCTGATGGTTAGCATTACAGGTGTTTCCCATGGCTGCCAGTTTCCCTAATGTCTCGGGTGCCACAAACTGATTTTCCTCTGCCAGCACATTTAATTTACAAGATGATCCTCACATAAAACACTGCCAGTTACATTTTTGAAAACATGCACAATTAAACCACTGACCCAATAGTCAAATAAAACTGTCCATAAATTATTGAGCTTGTTCTTTGCTTTTCTTAAAATAAGTGCTTGTCCCCTTATTTATCTGAATAAATACTCTTGCAACAAATATGAGTTTTGTGGATGCAGAAGGGGATATAAGCAACAGAATTGTGACCTCTCATTGAGATCAAAGGCTCCCCTCTCTTTGGGGCTCTTGTGCCTGGTTCTACTACCAGACTTGGCATCTCTGGCTGAACCTTGGCATATTAATTGGTAAATCAGAACCCTGGATAAATTGGACATAAGGTCTCACAATAACTTGGACTTCACCCAGATAGGCCTCAGGTAGAACCTTCCTCTTATCGTGATCTATGTTAAGCAGATCAAATGCCTTATGTGGCTCCAACAGGAGCCTCTGTACTTCTCCCTGGGAGCACAAATAGAGAGCATATAAGCTAGTCAACCCTCTGTTACTTTTGGTACTATGAAGAAGAGAGAATGGGAATATAAAATGTATGTAACATTTAATAGGCCATCTTGTCTACCAACCAGGTTTTTCACAGAACTTCTAACATATGACAAAATCTTGGGATTCTTACCATTCTGGTCATCTTTGGAGGGTTTCTGTGTTTGTAGTATCATCCTGTTTATTATCAGTCATCTAATGAACTACCTGTGAAACACCATGGCAGGAGCCATGGAAGGTTCCCAGGAAACAAATAGGAGACATGATTGCTGCTGTGGATAACATGCCCCCCTGGTAATGGCCAGAGCTGACTGGGGGTGGCCTTCAAGGAGGCAATGCTGAGACAGGGAGCTCATGGCCCCTTGAACTCAGGTAATCTGAGGTTTGGGAACATATCTCCAGGAATCTTATTTACACAGGATGAGCAAATTTCTTTGGAGAACTGAATAGGAAAGAGGAGGGCTTCAACACTGGTGACACAGGGTCCCAAGCCCTTGATTATTTCTGAGTCTGGTGATTGAAAACCAAAGTGAAAAAAATATCTACAGTGTAAGGCAGTATGTCATGTGTGTATAGGTGTGCCCCTGTGTGGGGCCCAGTAGGAAGTTACATTCTGCTGTCTGAGAGTCTATGCCTGGTGGTTAAGGAATGGCTTATTGCAAACAGTGCTATGATTATGAGTCTTTCTCAAGATGTTCCAGGGCCTTCTTTTCTTGCATTTAATTTTCCTTAACATTTCCTACAGTTCTCACTGGAAGATGGAGCCATTCAGATGACTTTTATTGCAGGAACCATGTGCTCAGGCATAAAGGGGGAACTTTTTCCAGGCTTTCTCCTCTAGACCTAACTGTGAACTGATAACTTCCTCATTTGAGTTTTCATTTTCTGTCTCAGAACTGTCAAATCTTTGTTGCACATAAGAGTTTAAACTTCCATCTGCTAGATTAGAAGTTTATTGAGGACAGGAATTACTGGTACACCTCTTTTCACTTCTGTATACCCAGTGCCTAACATAGTGCCTCGGACAGGTAAGCTCCGCATTTACCACCTGTGAGTGGGAGTTGAGGAAGCTGTCCCAGTTACGGAAAGGATACATCTGAGCCCTGCTCACCCTCGTTCGTTTTGTCAAATGATTATTTCTACATTATGACATGCAATTAAATATGAGCATGAACTGAGGGAACAAGGAATGGGGTACTCTAAAATCATTATTATATAGTTTCAGAGTACATTTGCCATAGCACTATTTTGCTTCTATAGTAAGCTTTCTTAACATTGATTAGTTATAATTTTCCAGAATGCATTTCAGTTAATAAAAGGGGAGGCAACTCTCAAGTGTGTTGGATGGGAGGCTAACTGGACTCTTGCTAACATTTCAATTGAAGAGTTTACATATTGTTGAAAATCTGTGTGATGTATGCCCTGATAGAATACATGTTTATTATTTTCAGTATTTATCGACTGCCTACTGTGTGCCAAATATTGTCTTGGCAGGATGTTTATTGAATAAGCTCATAATTTATTTTAGGTATTTGGCGATGGATGTAATTTAACATGATCGGACAGAAAAAGGACTTCATTAATCAAGCTGATATATTTGTAAACTAAAATATATGAATCAGGATTTATGCTTCTATAGTACATTTATTGTTATAAATATTAGAAGTCTAGTGTTCACTTTGGCAGCACATAGACTAAAATTGGAATGATACATTGAAGATTAGCATGGCCATTGCATAAGAATAACATGCAAATCTGTGAAGCATTCCATATTTTAAACATTATATTAGAAGTCTATGAGACTAGTATAAGTCTATATTAGACTAGAATGAATTAATATTTTAATAAAGATCATTTAAAAAATTCATTTTCAAGCTATTAAGCTTATAGGATTTGCCCTAAGTCTACCCATAATTTGAGAACATATTTAATGTGTGGGCTGTGTTTTCTTTGGAATTTGTTGTGTAAAATGATTATCTAGTAATTGAAGCAGAGCAGAACTTTCTTTACTTTAAAGCGTGTGTATGTTGGGGCACATTTCTGCTGAGGTAGTTCAAAGTGTATTTTCTTTGCTCTTCTCATGTTGATACTGCAGAATCTTTTTCGTTAAGAGAATCTGGTTGCAATTTCAGTTGTAAAATAGGCAAGGAAAACTTTTCAGCAAAAAACAATTCTATTGAATTGACCAGAAGGAGGCTCCCTTCCCCCTCACTGTATACAGTTAGCCTAAAATCTTCCCATCTTATTTCTTCCCAGGCAGTTCTAATGGTCCCCATGCCTGCTCTATCAGTGGTGGGAATAGAGGCAGCAGTCTGCAGTTTTCCCTGGGGGAACAGAATTTAAATTTGCATCACAGATAGGAACGTTTCCGTGAATATAATGTGTCCTTTCTGTTCATCAGTTCATTCATGTATTTCTCTTCTAGTTAATAACAAATAACAGCAATGTTAAGATAGAATTATCCTCATTAACTTTGGATTTCTCAACATTTCTTAGCTTAATTCTGTGGCTTTGTTTTTTCAATTGTTCTTGGATCTCTAATAAAATATTTTTTAAAAATTATATTTTACAATGAATTTATAAGGTATGTATATTTTTTTCAAAGTATGTATGTTTGTTTACAGAGCAAGAGGAAAGCAGATTTTGGACACTTTTGACAGGCCAGTATTGGGTCCCTGTCAGCCATGACAGTCATGTCAAGTGCTATGTGAGGACTGACGTAATGGAGTGTAATGGGAATGCCCTTAGGGGAGGCCTGGAACGCCCAAAGCCACAAGTCCAGATGCTTGGACAAGGATTCCATCTTGACAGCGATATGATTGGGACCTCTGCCCTTTCGGGCTACAAGACTTAAGAGCTGTGGCTGCCCAGTGCTCAAGGTTGGCTGCACCACAGGTCATGCTTGGAGCCCTGCTTGACTTTTACTTCACTGGATGTGGGTCACCACTGTAGCTGCCTGACTTGAGATTGAGACCTGACTCTCCACCTGTGGACACTGCCAGTGACCGGCACTTCGTGCCAGAAGCTCATGCTGCTCGCTTGTATGGCCTAAGCTCCCCCTCTCTCTCTGGAACTTGCGTGTGACTCCATTAGCTTATTAGGGAGGTCTCTCCTGATAAACCTGGCATTGTGGAAAGGCACAAATATGTGTGAGTGACTCCTTGCGGGGATGCTCCCTAGCTCATGAAAAGTTGTAGTCTCTACCTACCTGTCCATCTTAGTCTCTGTGTACATATTTATAAGTAAGAGACATGTTCAAAACATAGGATAATCACCGTTCACCCCAAATCTCTCATTGAATTGCATTTGGCAATGACAAGGCCACCAGTCGATTGAGAACAGAAACAAAATATCCAAATCTTTGGAGCATTAAGAGGGATGTGAAGATACAACCACCACTGAAGATATACGGTTCCCCATATGATGTTCTGAGATTATTTTGAATTGATTTTCGGGTTGTTCTCTTTCATTGTCAAGGAAGGCAGTTAATGTGGTTATTTCAAAAACAGCATTGTTGCTTTTTCCCCCCAAACATTGCCCTTTAACGAGGGAGCAGAACTGATTATGAAATACCCAACTCTGACTAATTTTGGAGGCGTAACATCTCAAATAAATTGTCTTCTGGAGATGTTCTTGGAGCCAGTGAACAGCAGAATGATGATGAGTTTATCTCTGCTAATAAACTGTGCCTTTGAGGGTCTATTCCTAAACAGGGCACAGAGTAGACTGGTGCTGTATTTCTATCCTCCCTTTGGCATGAAGGCCCCAGGTATGGAGAACTGTGGGAGGCAGAATCATGGCCCTCTAAAAATACTGTAGTCCCTGGAACCTGTGAATGTTTTGTTACATTGCAAAAGGAGCTTTGCAGAGGTAATTAAGGTGATAGATATTAAGATAGGGAGATTATCGTGGGTGGACCCAATCTAATCACATGATCCTTAAAAGCAGAGAACTCTGTCTAACTGGAGGAAGATGCAGCAGAAGAAAAAATCAGAGAATTCCAAGTGCTGATATGCTGTTGGTGATTCTGAGATCTAAGGGGTCACTTGAGGACTGTTGAGAGGCCCTCAGAGCTAAGGACCTGCAGGGAAATAGAGGCCTCAGTCTTACAACCTCAAGGAATTGAATTCAGCCAACAACCCGCATGAGCTTAGAATTAGATTCTTCCCCAGAGTCTCAGGTCAGGAGTGCACCCCTGCTAACACTGTGATTTTTAGCTTGATAAAACCCATGCCACACTTAGGTATGCCGAGAAACTGTGAGATAAATTTGTTTTAAGTCACTAAGTTTGTGGTAATTACAGCAGCCACAGAAAACTAAATCACAGGAAATATTTGGAAGGAAATGGCAATTGTGTCGGATTGTTACTTTGGTGGTGGACTGTTACCATGAACCATGCCTCCATAAATACAGTCCATGACTCTGGGTGTTAGCCATGGAATACTAATTAATGGGATGAAAACAGAAGCTTGACAAGTGTATTAGTTTCATGGTGCTTTTTTTTTTTTTAAACACGCTTTACAAATTTACTGGCTTAAAACAAAACGAACATAGTTCTGTAGGTCAAAAGTCTCACTGAGCTAAAAATCAAGGTGTCAGCAGGACCACATTCCTTCTGGAGGCTCTAGGGGAGAATCCATTTTCTAGCCTTTTCCAGCCTCTAGAGGCTGCCTGCTTTCCCCGGGTCAGGCCCCTTTCCCCATTTTCAAAGTCATTCGTATAATGTCTTCAAATCTCTCTTACACCTCCCTCCCTCCCATAAGGGCTCTTGTAATTATATTGGCCCCTCCTGGATAATCCAGGCTAATTTTCTCATCTCACCTTAACTTAAACATATCTGTTCAATCTCTTCTGCCATATACAATAACATATTTACAGATTTCAGGGATATCTTTGTGGGGGAGCCATTATTCTATCTGCCACAATAAGTGTTTGAATGCTGGGTTTATGCTCTCGGAATACTTACTCATAGAATGTTTCTTCTTGGCACCCACTACTATGCTAAGAGGAAGGCTAAGCAGCCATGGAGAGAGGCCTCCATATAGAAGAGCCAAGGCCTCTGGCCAACACTCTTAACTGAGCTCTCACGCAGCAGCCAACACGAACTCCCTGCCATATGGACGAGGCCACTGTAGACCTTGCAGCTAACGCAGGGCCCCACCCATGACCACAGAACAGAACTGCCTGTCAACCCACAGAATCATGAAATTTAGCAAGTGGTGGTCATTTTAACCTTCTAAAGTGTGGGAGTGGTATGTTATGCAGCAATGGAGAATTGAAATAACACTGCAGTCCTGTTTATAATTACCTACCCCAAATGAAAGGATTCTGACTAGAAGAAGATGAGCTCTTCTATCGAGTATTCAGGATGAAATAGATGACATAGGTCAAATACATAAAATCCTTAGCTCAGGGCCTGGCACATAGTAGCTGCTGTAAAAGTATTAATTATCTTTTCCCAAGTAGTCTTTTTGCTGCAGACATTGCCATCTGCTTTCCTAGTAAAAGAGAGGACTTCTCTCAGAGAAATGTATTTAATATGGCACATAACAAAATATAAGGTATTAACTGATAATTTGGCTTTGTGGTACATAATTTAAAGTTATAGAGGCCAACCTGAACAATGTCTATATTTGTTCCAAATACATGGGCCAGCACAAATAACACCCCTTTTTAATTACAAAATCATAAACATGTAATTCTGTAGCATAACAATATCATAATCAAGCACACTATATGACATTTTAGGTGAAATGTTCAAATTAAAACTATAAAATATTACACCCATATTATTACCCTACCAACCATATGCAAGCAGGTGTTACTTCTGCCAGACCCTGTCTGTCATTTTCAGAAAATACCTCAAAACTAAATTTCAGAATATAGGGTCTTGCAGTTCATATTGTTTAATTGCCTTGTCACACAAGACTCTTTGAATTTTTCTTAGTTCAATTGCTGTAAATGATTCCTGAAAGTAATATAATTATAACTTGTATTGGTAAATGCATTCATAGAATTCATGGAGCAAGTTGAATTCATTAGGAGCCAAGTTGATTACCATTTGAAAACAGTTAATGGTGTAGCTGATTGGAATATGTTGCAAAAAGTCATGATTTAATTTCACATCACCTAGAATAATCTGAGGCCATACGTGTTAATGGCAGCTTTGTGGAGCATAGGATCGACATGTTCTTCTGAGCTAGGTGATATGGCCATGCTGACCCAGGGAGAGATTCGCATTTCAAAATAAAATGAAGTAAGTAGTACAGTGTAATCTTCTGTGATTAAATTTACCACCTGAGAATTAAAAATGTGAGAAAAGTTTATAGGTAAAGTTTAAGCTCATTAAAAGCAATGTACTGTGAGATCCAGCCAGTAGAGGCTTTCAGGTTTTCATAGCAAACTTCTCAAATGGATTACGTTCACTACGTGTTCAAACTGCTTTCTTTTCTTCCCTCCTTGAAATCTCCACATTGAAGCTAAAGATTCTCTAAAAACTCACAAACCTGTCATGTCATTCCCCTACTTAAGACTCTTTAGTGGTTCTCACTTCTGCGTAAAGTCCACGTTTCTCAGCTCAGTCTGCTGGGCTCTGTGTGATCTGCTGCTGCTGACTCTACAGTCTTATCTCTTGACAGTTCTTCACCTTCTGTGACTCCAGACATAGAGAAGCACTTGTAATTTTCTTTCAGCTGCATGGCCTGGCTATTTCCTGCTCATCTGTAAGACCTCATTTTATCTAGGAAGCCTAAGAACAACTCCATGTATACCTAAAGT